GGATCGGGCAGTGTTTCGTTCTGCTGTGCATGGGGTCGCTATGAGTCGGAAACGACTCGACGGCACTTAACAACAACAACAACAACAACAAACACATGAAGAAATGCTTGCAATCATTAGTCATTAGAGAGATGTAAATAAAACAACAATGAGATATCATCACACATCAGCACTAATAGCAAAGTTCAAAGAAAACAGGAAACAACAAATTCTAGCATGTGGAGAGATGGGAACCTTCATACACTGCTGGTAGGACTGTAAAATGGTGCAACAACCGTGGAAAATGGTGTGCCATTTCCTTAAAAGTTAGAAATAGGAAGACCATTTGATCCAGCAATCCACTACTAGGTATATATCCTACAGAAATAAGAGTCGTGACATGAACAGATAGATATATGCACACCCATGTTCATAACAGCACTATTCACAATAGCAAACAATACTAACAACCTAAATGCCCATCAGCAGAGGAATGGATCAACCAACTATGGTATATACACACAGTGGAGTAGTATACATTAAAGAACAATGATGAATCTGCAAAACATCTCATAGTATGGATGAACTTTGAGGCCATTATGGTGAGTGAAATTAGTCAATCACAAAAGGACAAATACTGTATGAGACCATATTGTAAAAAGTCAAGGATAAGAGTTTCACAAAAAAAAAAAAAAAAGAAGAAGAAGAAGAAGAAGTATTCTTCTATGGTTACCAGTGTCGGTGTGGAAGGAAGGGTAAACCACTAACTTGCAGCAGACACATCTTGACTTGGGTGAAGGCAAAGATTAAAAAAAGAAAAAAGAAAAGAAAGATAAATAAGTCTTCCCCAAAAGAATAGAAAGAGAAACTCTACACTGGGAAAAACTTTTGGCAATGGTATTTCTGACAAGGGACTAATCTGTAAAATGTATGGGAAATTTCATCTCAACTGCATCAAGTCTGTGGCTCAGAACTCTCCTATATCTCTTACCACTCCCCCTGCTTCTTCAGAGGTTAAAAACACGCATAACTGCATCTTCTTGGTAGCAGCATCCGCAAGCAGGATGTAGCTAGAAGTACCTCCTCAGCCCTGGGTCAGTTTTTTTACTTCCTACCTCGGAGAAGGCCCCTCACCTATAGTTAAAATATGGTTAATGCAGTCCCAGCGGCTCTTACGTATCTCCAGTTTTGAAATCCTGCCTACCGTTCCCACATGCCCATGGTGTGGCCTGGAGGCATGTGAGCAGGAAAGAAGCCAGGTACCTCTGCGAACCTGATGGACTGTTCTGAATCACTCACTTTCTTGGCTCTATAGCCCTCCAAGGAGCCCCGCGGCCTGCCTGCGAGGAACGGGATGTCCCGGGGCGGGGACCGCGGTCACGAGTGAGCACATCTGGCGCCCCATTCTCCCCACCTGGGGAGTAGGTTTAAAGAGAAGACATCCGCCCTTCCACAACCCAAGTGAGGCTGCGAGACAGGTAAGATCACCTCAGTGCCCCAGCCCGGCAAAGTGCAAGGCGAGTACAGGCGGTTCAGCTACCACCAAGTGAGCCGCAGAACACCTGGGGTGGAGGGTCCTCAGTACCATTCTTTGCAAGAGCAACCAGAGGAGCCGCGGATCCAGAAGTTCTGGGCGGCCTGCCACGACACTCGCCAGGGTCCTCCCTCACCCTGCCCAGTTCATTCGGCGGCCAGAGCGGGGAGGAGCGGGAAGGGGCAGGACTGGCTGCGCTCCTTAAGAGGTGGCGCGAGAGGCCGGGGCTTGTCCTAGGCCGGCCTGTGAGGTGGCACTGCGCGATGGAGACCGCCCGGGACTGCGCCGGAGCCCTCCTAAGGCGAGTGCCGCGCCCGCAGCCATGCTGGGACATCGCGCGCCTGTGTCCCGGCTCCTCCCGCTCCCTGCGTTCCCCACGCTTCTCGGTCCCTACGTCCTGCGCCTGCAGGTTCTGTGTGTTTGCTCGACCTGGCCAAGTCAGAAACCGCTGCGTGTCCCCTGTCCCTTTCGTCTGGCCGCATGTGCCAGGAGTGGCGCTGCGGAGGTGTGTGGAAGTCCGGGTAAGAGTTGACAGTAGCGACTGCAAGAGTGACAGTTATCTCTGGCCAAAGCCCCAGGGCAACATCTCCCCGAGCTCCAGCAGCTGCAGCTGATAACTGGTCTTCTGGCGCGTTGGGTTGGACCCCTCCTAACATCTGCCCAATCCGCGTCGTTAGAGGACCTTGGAGGGAGTGCATTCCCGAACCGCAGGTGAGGCTAGGGCCTCAGGGCCCACGGTCCTGGCCTCACAGCATCGATTTTTTTTTTTTTTTTTTTTTTTTTAATTTTGTTCCTGCTCGGGGTCAACTCCGCATCCTTACCTACCCAAACCATTCCTCTGTGGTAAGTCCTATAGCTTGGGCGTGGCAGCAGCTTTAAAGTATAGATTTAAGGGAGAGACCGCGTTTTTCTGAAGATCTTCGAGAAGTGCCTCAGATGGAAGGGAGAAGTTGTTGAGTTCTTGGAAATGCAGAGGTCGGGGGAGACAGGTCCCATTATGTACCTGTGGTGTTGAAAGGCGCAGCAGATAGAAGGGATAGAGACCAAGTTCTAAAACTGGCGCCATCTACAAGATTCTAAAGTTGGGCTTTTCGAGGGGAGCTGTGAGTACACACTCAAGACTAGAAAAACAGATGCCAAAATGTAAAGTTGTGCTTTCTGAATGCCTTGCTTTTTAAAAGTAAACAAAAACAAAAACCTGAAGTGAAGACGGTGGGGCATGGGAAAGGTGGGAAACAATTCTTCAATGTATCTTCACTAAGATTTTTAAGCATAAAGTTAAGGTCCCTGGTTTCTTTTTGCTCTTCTTCCACCTCCACCCACCCCATACCTCAATTCCAGGAGGTGACAACTGTTGGCGTTCACCCTTCCAAGCTTTTTTCCTATGCATGTGCAACACCCCATTGTTCATGTTCCCAGGGAGCACTATCTTAAAGATGGGTCAGAACTGCCCTAACTAATCCCTAGCATTGCACCTGGGCAGGAAGAAGAGGCAGAACCAGTAGAGTCAAGGTTGAGTTGAGGTTGACAGGCTCAATCTTACAACAGTCTTAAATTGGGCAAGGAATCCATGTGAAGCTCTACCCGGCCAAGTGTTGCCAAGTTGGCCAGCTGATGAAGCATTGGCAATGCAAAGCATGATAAAATGTCTAATCTTCTAAAAGCACATTCCTTTTGAGCTTCAAGCTCTAGTAGCACGTGAATATTTGTTATAGATAGAACAGTTGTTGCAGTTTTTTGATGTTTAACTGCTTCCCAACTAAATGCCCATCTTGAAAATCAGGCTAAGACCCGGTAGAGCCAAAAGCAAGGTGGGGGGAGGGGCACCTTTGCTAAATGTGGTCTTGCAGGGTTCCTACCTCCTGGCACTGTCCCTTAGTTTAGACCACCAGGTGTAGTGACCCTAACCCTGTATTTTATTAGTAAGTAAGCACATTTTGCCAAGAAAGTAACTTAATCAATATATGTCTTTAAAATAAATAAATAAGTCAGATACTTGTAAGCATATTAAATCGACACCTCTTAGCTTTGTGAATAGTATTCTGTGGACTTATATTCTACCCTTCTTGCTTTTTATTACTGTCATGTGGGATCCTTCTTTCCCATATAACAACAAAATGTGGAGTTCCCTTAGCCATTATTTCATTTGTAATGTTCTCTGGGCACTCTCTTAGTCTACTATTGCCTATTGCTACCTCACCACTCATGACACCAGAGTATTTGCTTCCAAATGAGACCTTATTCCTGGGCCACCTCTCCACCAGCACCTCCAGAATAAGCATCAGTTCATATAGTGGCATATAAAGAGTGAGCGCCCTTTTGTGGTGGCAGGGCAGCTTAACTTTACTGGCATAAAGTTCATGGCATAAGGTAGTCTATGTTGCTGTATTTCATACATTTCTGTAAGTTGGGGCCTCCTTGCTTCCCCCAGCAAAAAATACAAAGACGTTACTGTTTCCACTGTCTTCTAGGAGATCTGGCACCTCACAATTTTCAAGAGTATTCTGAGAAGTGTGACTTCTGTTATCATCTTGATTTCCCTGAAACAACCTACTTCCTTAAACAACCTGTTTCCTTGTTGTTGTGAGCTATTTCCCTTCCTGCAATCACTTTCTCAGAAACTGAGAGGTGGCTGTTCTCCTCTGTGGTGTCTCAAAGAAGACTCCTTAGATTTCTCAGTGGCCCAATTTTAACTTTGATGTATTAAAAAATTAAGGTGAGAATAGCAACATTTTGGATATTCTGTTAATGTCCAGTGATATAAAATATTCTGCATATTCAGTAGACCAGAAGTGAGATGGCTTAGAATGTTTATTTAGCTAGCTATGTAACGTCATTGTTCATCTAGCTGGTTGTTTAGCTGGAGCAGACCAAATACCTATATAATGTTTTTAAAATAACTTTAATGTACATCAAACTTTATTTAATTCCCTTTTATGCAATGTGTATGATCCTGATTTCATATAATTTGGCACATAAAATCATTCATCCTGTTCATTTAAAAGAATAGTAGAATTTCATTTTCATAGCTTCAAAATGATTTGTATAAGTAGTCAATAAATCTCTTATCCAACTGTGCCCTAGTTCTTGGTTAGGAAAACAGTCATTGGATCTGTAATGGGCAAGAAGAACAATAGCTGCTGTGTCCTTTCTTATCAAGGATGGCTATCTTGAGGGCAGCAGAGGACCAGAAATGATTGCTGCCTTGTCTTGTCAGAAGTCAAAAGACAATATGAACTCTGAATTTGTAACCTACGCTGGGTTACCAAAGTATGAGGAAATAAGGCACCACAACTAACTAGGACAAAGCTATCTGTACCCAGCAGCCGTGCTATTGACCGCTGGAGGCTGGACTCACCTTCTACCTAATAAGTAGGTCAGGTACCAACAGTGAGCTAGGCAAAATGTACTGACAGTCCCTGGCCTCAGTAAGCACAAGTTCTAAAAGGCCTCCTGGATGATGGCAATGACTTCCTGTTTTCAGGGAAAAGAGAGGTTCTTGCTTCATAGGGCATAGGTCCCCTGTCCTCTGGGTGTTTCATCTGGAAAGAGTGGCAGCCAGATACGAAACTTGGATTCAAGTAAGTACTCTATCACTTTTTAACTCTGATCTTATTTCTTAACTGCCTTGAGCCTCAGTTTTACTCATCTGTAATATTTATCTTATAGCTTTTATAGAGCAATTATAAATATAACATGGATAATCTCTGTTGCCTTATCCACCAGGTCACCAGGGACGAGAACCCAAGGGAATTCTCTGTAGTGCTAGCTCAATACTATGTGAACATTTTGTTCATTTTGTGTAACTGAGAAACCTAGTGTAACTCCTTTGAATCAAGGCAAAAGTTCAGCAGCTATATGCCAGTCCTATTGCTGTGTCTGTCCATCGCGATGTCAGTGCACTGCCACGTAGGCTCCAAGCTCTGACTTCTTTAGTGGGTCACATGTGAAGGCTCCCAGTCATTGTGATGGGTAGCCAGGGCTGTGGACTACTGGCCTTACACAATCCCCTCAGCAGCCTCTGCACTGGAAAGAAATCTTGTAGTGCCTTTGTCAAACTAAAAGTGAAAAGAAATTAAATGTGTGAATGCCAAATACTGTTGTACATTCAACTCTTCCTCACAATGCCCAATTTATTGCTACGGATTTGAAGTTCAGATGGCATAATAACAAAAGAGCCTGCTTTCTTATCCCTGCCTCCCACCCCCCCAAAAAAACTAGCTTTGGACAGATCTGGACTCAAACCCTCTCTCTTTTCCTTATTAACTGGGTGACCCTGAGAAACCATTCTGAGCCTCAGTTTTCTTATCTCCACAATGCATAATATTTTCCTTATAAAGCTGTGATAATTCATTAATATAGTTATTTAAAGAGTTAACACTTTGCTCTCCAAGTAAGTACTAACTAATGTAGTGCTTGCTGAATGTACTTCAGGCCCTGCTTCTAGACTATGTCACTATAGGCAGATTCCTATTAAAGAAGAGAAGCTAATTTTTATTAAGTACCTATTCTGGTGGAGGGGGAGCTGTGGTGGCATCAACCTAAGGCATTTGACTGCAAAGCAGAAGGCCGGCGGTTCAAACCCACTAGCCACTCCTTGGAAGTAAGGTTGCACAATCTACTTCTGTAGTGATACCACCTTGAAAACCCAAGGAGGGGTTGCTATGAGTTGGGTCTGACTCAACAGCAGTGAGGTTGTTTTTTTTTTTTTTTTTTACTTTCTTTTTTCAATTAAAAAAAAAATTCCTCTAAGCTTTTTACTGAACTAGATATATTTCCAAGGTCCCAGGGCCAATTAAGAACAGAACTAGCATGTCGATCTACATCTAAATCACACATTTTCTTTATAACATGTTCTCTGTCTTAGACCAAGTGTTGTTATTGCTATTAATTGCTGTCTGAATCATAGTAACCTTAAGTATAACAGAACAAAAGTTGTTGTTGTTATTTGCTGTTGAGTCAACCTGACTCATAGCGATACCTCCTCGGGTTTCTGAGGTGGTATCACTACGGAAGTAGATTGCCCAACCTTCCTTCTGAGGAGAGGCTGGTGGGTTTGAACTGCCAGCCTTCTGGTTAGCAGTCAAGTGCCTTAGGCACTATGCTACCAGAGCTCCCACAGAACAAAAGAAGGAGTGTTAAATACCAAACAGTGTGAAAAACAGACCAACTTTTAAATTAAAATGAAAGGTGGTTTATGGGTAATTTATGATGGTCTGTTAAATTAGTCTAATGTGGTATTAAGCTAGCTAAATTGAATATGGATGTCTTCAGTTAGCACAATTAATAAGTTTCTAATATAACATAAACCAATGGGAGTCAAAGGCAGAGGAAAGGAAGACAGATGATGGTGTCTACTCTCTTTGCAAGTGGCTTTATGAGGCAACCCGGAAGCAGAGCAGAGTGCCGGGGGATTTTGCAAGCATCTTTAAGAGGTGGCCCAGAAGTGGAGCCAGGCACCATGAGCTTTTGCAAGTGGCTTTAAGGGGTGGCCTGGAAGTGGAGCTGGGTGCTGGGGGCTTTTGGAGCACCTTTAAGCGAGGCCAGGAAGTGAGCAGAGTGATTTGGAACAACTAAAGGAGACAAACTTGTCTGTCAGTTTGTCATCCTGTGGTGGCTTATGTGTTGCTATAAGGCTGAAGGCTAAGCCACTGGTGTTGCAAATGCCAGCAGGGTTACCCATGGTGGACAGGTTTCAGTGGAGCTTCCAGTCCAGGACAGACTCAGAAGAAGGAAGAGGCCATCCACTTCTCAAAGAAATGGCCAATGGAAACCTTATGAATAGCACTGAAATACTGTCTGGTATATTACTGGAAAACTTTATGAATAGCTCCAAAATCGTGTCCAATATAGTGCCAGAAGATGAGCCCCTCAGGTCAGAAGGCACTCAAAATATGAGTGGGGAAGAGTTGCCTTACTCAAAGTAGAGCTGACCTTAATGATATGGATTGAGTAAAGCTTTCAGGACCTCCATTTGCTGATGTGGCATGACTCAACATGAGAAGAAACAGCTGCAAACATCTACTAATAATCGGAACATGGAATGTACAAAGTTTGAATCTAGGAAAATTGGAAGTTGTCAATAATGAGATGGAACACATAAAGATCAATATCCTAGGCATTAGTGAGCTGAAGTGGACTAGTGTTGGCCATTTTGAATCAGACAAACATATGATCTTTTATGCTTGGAATGACAGATTGAGAGGAATGGTGTAGCATTCTTCATCACGAAGAATGTTTAAAGATCTGTCCTGAAGTACAATGCTGTCCATGATAGGATAATATCCATGTGCCTACAAGGAAGACCACTACTATCAGTCAAATATATGCACCAATTACCAAAGCCAAAGATAAGGAAATTGAAGATTTTTACCAACTTCTGCAGTCTGAAACTGACCAAATATGGAATTAAGATGTATTGTTTATCACTGGTGAGTGGAATGTGAAAGTTGGAAACAAAGAAGGATCACCAGTAGTTGGAAAATATAGCCTTGGTGATTGAAATGTTGCTAGAAATCACATGATAGAATTTTGCAAGACCAACAAATTATTCATTGCAAAAATCTCTTTTCAACAACACAAAAGGCAGCTATACATGTGGATTTCACCAGATGGAGTACACAGGAATCAGATTGACTGCATCTGTGGAAAGAGGTGATGGAGAAGCTCAATATCTTCAGCCAAAACAAGACCAGGAGATAATTGTGGAAGAGACTATCAACTGCTCATATTCAAGTTCAAGTTGAAGTTGCAGACAATTAAAACAAGTCCACGAGAGCCAAAACATGACTTTGATTATACCCCTCCTTAATTCAGAGACCATCTAAAGAATAGATTTGATGCCTTAAATGCCAATGACCAAAAACCAGAGAAATTGTAGGATGACATCAAGAACATCATCCATGAAGAAAGCAAGAGATCATTCAAAAGACAGGAAAGGAAGAAAAGACCAAAATGTATGTCAGAAGAGACTCTGAAACTTGCCCTTGAACAGAGAGTAGCTAAAGCAAATGGAAGAAATGACAAGATAAAAGAGCTGAACAGAAGATTTCAAAGAGCAGCTCAAGAAGACAAAGCCAATTATAATGAAATGTCCAAAAACCTGGAGTTAGAAAACCAAAAGGGAAGAACATCCTTGGCATTTCTTAAGCTGAAAGAACTGAAGAAAAAATTTAAGCCTCAAGTTGCAATAATGAACGATTCTATGGGTAAAATATTAAATGATGAAGGAAACATCAAAAGAAAATGGAAGGAATACATAGAGTCATTGTACCAAAAAGAATTGGTCAATGTTCATCCATTTCAGGAGGTGGCATATGATCAAGAATCAATGGTAATGAAGGAAGAAGTCAAGGCTACACTGAAGGAATTGGCAAAAAAAA